CACACAACGATCGTAGAACAAAGCACCCTCATTAACCCACCAGGCTACCGTCCCTCCATGATGCATAACATATTGAGTTTCAGTCATCTACGTAATATTTTGATATCTCCATCGTTAACAATGTGTTTAATTGAACTTGCTCTTCGCTGGTGAATTATCACGAATTTCCGTAATAAACTTTTTTTATCTACAATTTAGATAACTAGTTACACAACACCCGTTTTCATTATTCTACACGTGTTTTAACTACTACGGATTTAACTACATCAAGTTTTATGAAAGTCATCCATAAAAATCATCATATCGTAATGTCATTCGATTTTCTTTTGTCTACAAGTACTTCAATTCTATTTTTTGGAATACTCGACTTCCCATCACTTTTTCGTTAGATCTAGCTTGTTTTAATTAAAATTTAGTCAGAATGCCTATTTTTATTGACACTTTTATAATTCCCCAAAGTAAATGTTCCTGTTTATGTTTCTAGTGCTTTCGAATTACATCTGTTTTGGCTAAATATTTGTACTTGTATTTTCCAGCTATATTTACAGATTTTGTTTCAGTTGTTAGGAATCACACGTTAAAAAGGTAAGACCTCGTTAATCCTTAGCTCGCACAAGTTTCGACTTCTGAGGGTTGTCGTTCGTAGGGGTGCGACAGCTGGTTAACGGAAAAACAGATTTTAAACAGATTTTTCTAAACAGTTGTATCATAATTTTGGAATCGCCAGTAGAATGATCATCATTCACCTGGTCAACATCTCAGTAATTTGAATTTGAAAATTTTTCACTTCCACTCTATACATTGTGTTATGCCGGTTTGTTTAGGATACTCCATCATGATAAAGTAAAGACTGTCACTAGAAAAAAAATGCACGGAATCTATGAAATACCATAAGGTTTTCTTGAAACAATGAGAAAATAGTATACTCATCTTGTGCAACAAGCACAGGAAGTAAACTATTCCACACGATGTATGAATAAGAATGGGAGTGCCACAATCATACGAGTGTGGAATAGGTTATATGCATGAGTAGCACACTATACTTTTTCTACGATCAAGTTAGAAATATATTCATTCAACTTTGAACTACATGTTTCAGAACTTTACAGCTGATTATTACTGCTTGAATAATGTCGTTAACAATATTAATTGCTAGAAATATAAATAGGCATTCCATCAACATTCAATTTGACATATACGAGGTGTTTTGGACTAGTGGAATATGTATCAGTCAATTAATCAAAGGGTCCCGAGTCCAATTCCGGGCCAAGTGAAGATTTTTTGTTTTCTTTATAGTTTGACATGAGAGTACTGGAAAGATAGTGTGTTATGCTATTCCACACAATTTGGTGCGTGTGTACGGAATTTAGAACTTTCTGGTGCAAAAAGTAGTACGGAATATGTCATTTACTGTGTTTATCGTAGAAAAAGACTGTGTTTTGTGTGTTTTATGATACCTATAACCCACTCGAACTACTAATAGGTATATACTTATACAGCTTCATAATTCATAAGAGTTTCCAATGGGAAAATCATCTGTAATTTCTAGTATAGGATAGTCTATAAAAAACAGAAAAAACAGAAAAAACTGGTTTCCAGTTCGATACTAGAAAACTTCGAAATATTCTCATGACAAAACAGGCTCACTATTTTCCATTTAAAGTAGGGATGGTTGAATAAATTACCTTTTTAATATTATTTTTGTAATAACTTCTGAACTGAGCGGAATCCGAATACCAAAAGCAGAAAACATCACTACGTTTAAGAAAACCTAACTATGAAACTATTTGTTTCCATTTAGTATTCTCTACCTATATTGGAGTATATTTCTTTTCATTTTTCCTCTGATTTTGGTGGTTCACTCAATATAGTGGTGCATCTTAAAAATTTGCTCAATATTTGTCATCCTCTTCATATCACATTCTTGTGCTACAAAATGTTGACGGGAGTGCAAAAATTTTATAAACTCCCAAAAAAATTCAACACTCTACAAAATTGCAAACATCCCTTCTTGCGTAATATTTTTCTTACGGTTTCAATATATTTGTACAAAAAAAATCTTTGATATTTTGCAGACAATTTTTGTCACTGTCAGGGAGCTATGAACCTATCAAAATATTTTTGAAGGCCATACAAAATTTTGAATATTTTTCGTGGGAATATTTCTCTTTACGAAAACGACATCTTCAATAATTTATGCAAAGTTTTTTCCACTGTGGAGGTGATACATACATACATTTAAACATGGCAAATCGAATGAAAGATTGTAAAATAAACAAATTCGTTTATTAGATATGTTTGCTGGTCCAAATTATGTCATAAGAATATTTATTTCACTTAATTGATTCAAAATGGGATCCACCATTCTTCTATAATTCACTTCTATTTAATGAAAAGATGTTTTTTCATCAAAACACAGTACATGTACATATACCATCGAAAATTGCTCAGAAAGCCAACCCCAAGAAATAAAAGAAAAACTTGAATATCAGGTTTTGGTTGTCCTTGTGTTGAATGTACTTTTTTGTCTGCTTGAGAGTCGTATGATTTGCATTTACAAAATCCAACATGCTTACTTGGTGAATTGTTTTTCGAAATAATTGTCAGAAACTGAAAGTGACTGATTATTGTCATCTCTTGAAACTATTGTAGATAACTGGGGTGGAATAATTTAAAAAACCACTAGGTAATGAAAACTGGATGAGACGGAACATTATTGTGATTTTTGACAAAGAAAAAGTTTTGTCTTTTTTCTTCTCCATCTTTATACGAAAAAAAATGTGGAAATGAAGATGGAGAAGTAGGGAGCCAAAACTGTTCTTTCCTAAAAATTATTATTTCCTAAAAATGAACAAGATTCTAATTGGTTGGCATTAAATTAAACTAGTGAATGAATGTCATTACATACTGTCATTGATGACATACGTAGATTCAACTCATTCGCGACGTGAGGTGATGATATTTCATGAATGAATTGAGTGGGGTTGATCTTATATATTTTCTAGATTGGCGCTGCAGAGGCAATAAAGCAAGTGACTTATTCTGAAACATCAGATGTCCGCCATTGAGGATTACAGTGTTCTATGTGAGTGGAATTTTACTTCTTTCATATACTATATTGTGTAGTAATCCTATGAATGAGATCTGATTCGATTGCATGACGAATGTTTGGAGTACAAACTGAATGGGAAAAAGTGTTTCTGTACATTAAAGTTTCATATAAAAGTAGTTGTTTCGATAGTTTCAATTTTTTCCGTATATAATTCAATGCTCATATGGAAGATGTTTCCAGTTTGTGTATGAAAGTTACTTTTTGCATGATCTACATATCTTTGTGGTGAGTTCATTTGGAAATTAAGTGATTTCTTCCTTTCTTTGAAAGACTTCCACTTTTTTCTATAGAGATGGAAAGGTATATCTCAATATATTCTTTCAAGTTATCATGATAAATTATAATGATAAATTGAAAGAGGTAAATTTTTTGATATATTTCTTTCCCAAAAATTATTATGATATTTCGATTTCAACTCATGAATTCTATAAAAGTATATTGCAAATTTGAAAATTTTCAAGCTGTTCAGTCTCACGATATCACAACCTCAAAGGTCTTCTTTGCAAACTAAGTTTGTCATACATAATACGGCATTTATACCTTTCCACACGAAGTTTATTGATTTCTGAAATATTCGAGGTTTATTCTTCTCTATAGAAGAATCAATGAATGAGAGTGGATGACATTGTTTCTTGGTAATTACAATATTGGACTTCCATTTTCTAAGAAGGTGTTGAAATATTTCAAATGTGTGAAAGAATAAATGAAAGGAAAATAAATAAAATGTTATATTTTATGTCTTGAACATTCTGACAATTCCCATTCCATTTGTTCTTCCAATGATTTTAAATCTGTTTGCACCTTTTCAAACAATAGAAAAATTCACTTACCTAATAGACTGATTTTTACACAGGCGCACATATTTCTGTTTCTTGGATATTTCGACTTTCAAACTCGAAATTTCGACTTCAATCTCGAAATGTTGATTTTAATCTCGAAATTTCTAGTTGAATCTGAAAATATCGACTTTGATCCCGCAATTTCAAGTTTAAGTTCCAAATTTAGAATTTTGAGATCAAGGTCGATAATTAGGTCGAAATTTCGAGTTTTGATGTCGGAATTTCCAAGAAACAAATAGTAAAAATATGAAGCCTTTCTGCGCTACCGTATAACTTCAAATATACGATTGTTGCCTTTTGATTTGTTGATTTAGTATCTCATGAATGCCAAGGCTGGAGAGTCAGAATTGAAACCTTTGCCTCGAAAGAAATCTGAAGAAATCACTAGCCCCACACACCAGAACTGAAGCACTTTTTCGCGTAATGCGCATAGAGAAAAAGTTCTTCACTTCTGGTGTGTGGGAAAGATGTTGTAATTGGTCGAAAAGTTTCTAATTTTCATCAATTCATATCTGATAGGTATCAAATCAAAACTGAATCATCTGATGTCAATTTGTTCTTGGTTTCTGGTAATTATAGTATAATACAATTGAGTAATAGTAGGCACTGAATTCTCAGAAATATTATTGCATTGAAACGGAAACGTAGTTGTCAAGGTTGTGATTCTATAATTTTATCATAATTTTTCATCATCTGTTTAGTTTAATTTCCTTACGCCACTGCAAGAGACAGATTGAGGTAAAATCGTCAGTCATTTCTGAGAATTCAGTGCCTACTATTTTGGAATTATAGTATAGTTTATACATTATCAAATCAGCCGTCCTGATTTGATTGAAATACGCCTTGCACCTGATGATAGACAGGCCTAGGACCCAGTAAAGTGAGTTGTAAATGTATGATATAATTATTATTACTTGAATTTGAATTGAATCATTTTCAACATCAATATGGAAACTAACAATAATACTAGAATCACGCAGTAACGAAAAATGAATTTTCATTAGTTTTCTTCAGGCACACTCTCCAACATGAAATGAAACATATGAGAATTGAGTACGAAGCAATATATTACAGGTTTTTATTTATATACAATTTTTACATATGACATAGTACGACTTACAAAAAATATATTCATCTTCATAAATAGAAAAAATTTCGATAACAATAATATAAATTAATCTTAACTAAAATCACTTACAACAATTTGCGAAAATTTTGTGAGAATTTTTCAGCCCTTGCGCGTCCCGTTCGGCTTTCCTAAAACCAATGAAAACTATATTAGAAATTTTATTTTGAATTTTGCTTGTGTACAATATTTATTTCAGCAAAAACTATGGAGTTTTTCTCATATTTTTTGATAAAATAATTATTGTTCCAAAAACTACATCATATATACAAATTGCATAAAATTAAAAACATGCATACTTTTCGAATACTATTTGATTTCATCCAAAAATTTTCTATATGATATAATATAGTAAACGATCTTGCAAGGGAAATCATGTTTTGTTTAAATAGTTGACAATGTAAGAGGTTCGTTCGGACGCTCATTGTCTGAAAAATATAAATTTCGAAATGTAAGAGAAAGAAAATGAAAACATACGCATTCCCAAAATTTGTATACATATAAAAATATAGTGAAATGAAATTAAATAATTAATGAGATTTTGAAAAAATATACTGTATATAAGCAAAGAGAAAAGTGGAAAATTTTCCGAATATTACTGATCTAAGAAAGAAAGTTTATCAGTTGGTGAAAATGATTGATACCTGGAATTTCACATGAAAAGGGAAGGACCTCTTTAATCCTCAGCTTGCACAAGTTTCGATTTTCAAGAAAAAAGAGAAACCCATTGCAATATCATAATTAATGAAACTTTATTGAAACAGCAAATTATGATACTGTTACCATTTTTTCAGATAGTACCAGAGAATAGACTTGAAGAACGTCACACAAGATGTATTGAAATAGAAATAAACGCCAAATAATCACGATATCATTGTTTGGAAAGAATGCTTACAAAACATGTAAAAAAAATTAAATTAATTTTCAAATTTCGCGGGCTACATACATTCGGTTGGGGATTTTTCATTTATTTATGTTGGTACACTTGTCTCGAACATATGTTCACACTTTTAGCTATTAAGCATCTTTAGTTTGTTGGTGAGAGGCATAGAAGTTTGGCGTGTTCGGAGAGTTTCTGCTATCGAAATGGATCAAATAATTTGCATCAAATGTTGTCAAAAATACTTGAACTGTTGACAGTGGCATACGGTGATTGCACTCTGAGCCAAGAAAATGTTTACTAGTGGTACATGCTTTTTACAGAAGGTCGATAAGATGTGAATGAAGACGCTCACCATGGATCATGGATCACCAGCACATCAACAAACAATGAAAATGTTGAGAAAGTAAAGCAAATTATTATGGAGATTCTTCGAGTCACTATAAGAGGAGTTGCTGAGGATGTCGGGATATTGGTTGGTTCATGCCATGCAATTTTTTTGTGAATTTTTGACATGAAGCGTGTGGCAGCGAAGTTCTTTCCAAAATTGATGAATTTTGATAAAACAAACCGTAGCATGAGCATCGCACAGGAATTGTTGAATGGCATCAAGGCTATCCAGATTTGCTTCAAAGGGTTATAACTGGTGACGAATCATGCGTATATGTATATGGGTATATAGAAACCCAAGTCCAGTCATCCCAATAGGACAGCTTGGGAGAGCCAAGACCGAAAATAGCTCGCCAAGTTCGATCAAATGTCAAGGTTTTGCTCACTGTTTTCTTGGATTACCGAGGCGTAGTGCATCAGGAGTTCTTGCCGCATGGTCGTACGGCCAATAAGGAGTATTATCTTGAAGTTATGCGCCGCTTGCGAGAAGCAATACGAAGAAAACGTCCGGTGCATCACGATAATGCACCTGCTTACTCATCATTGCTTGTTTGTAATTATTTGTCCAAAAACAACACCATAGTCATACCTCAGCCGCCGTATTCACAAGATTTATCCCCTTGCGACTTTTCCCAAGATTGAAGAAATCCATGAAAAGAAGAAGTTTTACGAAGATTGGACGATTGATGAGATAGAAACCGAATCTCTGAGAGAGCTTAAGAACATACCAAAAAGTGCATATCAGAACTAATTCGAGGATTGATAAAAACGCTGGCTCAAGTATATTATATCTGAAGAAGCCTACTTTGGAGGTAACAAAACAGAAATTGAAGAATAAATAAATGTTTTTTGAAAAAATGAAAAATCACCTAATTTTTTCGACAGAACTCTTATATCAATTTAACAAATCACAACGTCATCGAACTCAGAGTACACGTGCTTGTTGTATATTTAGTGGGAGAGTCACATACTCAATGAAGGGTAGATGGTAAGAAAGTAATATATAAAAGGCAAAAATCAGCAATAACTTTATTTTGTATTGAGCTTCAGAATACTTCAGTTATTCATTCTTCAAGTATCAAAATGATATGATGATTAATGTTGATATTTTTCGCTTCTCCTCCTTTGGCAAAGCTAATATTTTAAGTATGGTTTCTGTTCAGTACCAATTCTTTCAAATGGCATTCGTTTTTGTCAGTTTTTACATCATTATTTTTGAGTTCTGCGTGATGATTTGCTAATATGATAATGTCATGGTCAAAAGAGTTCACGATATTGATCACTTGTCAGCATATATGAACGCAATAAAATGTATTAGGTATGGCAATGCTAGGTCCTGAAAATATTTTATTTCTATATTTCATTTCTCTGATGAATAATTAAATTTATGATTCGGGATTATTAAAATTATCTGTTCGAGTAATCTCTAACACTGCTATTCAGGATGTATGTAACTTCAAATAAGTATATTATTACTCCAATCAAATATAAATCCAAAAGAGCAATAAATACGTATGCATTAAAACTAATTATATTCACAAAGTAACTATTTGTCGAGGCATCCAGAACAATCAGTCAGTATTCCCTTCTTCTCAATTATGTCTGGTATTTTCCATATCTGATATCTACAAAGATAACCCAAGCTTATTATAAATTTTTTGCCTAAGACGGCGAGTGGATAGCTATTAATTCCATATATAAAATTGAACGGTAGTTAACCCACAGTGCACAGTGTTGCCATGTCTGTGCTGCCTTCGAATTTGATGACGATTCAAGGCAATGAAGTTACTGCTTGTAAGGAAAAACAAAAATTTGATCGCGTTACGCATTCATTTCGATTTTGATGAGGGATGTATATCTTTCATTCACCAGTATTGATAGTGGAATTTGTAAATTTCAAACGTTCCAATAATAAACTCCATATCGAAGTAATTTTGTTTCAATTAACAACTTAATTCTTCATTTCTCACATAATCACAAAAGGAATGGAGCAAAAGCATGTCAGAAAGCAATGCAATGATAGCCTTCTATTATTATCATCAAACGAACTTCTGAGTGATGATCACTTTGAATCACTTTGAAATGAATCTATAAGCAACTGACTATGTAATAAACCCCTCACAACAATGTATTTGGGTAGTCATGAATGATTTATAGAAAACATGCCAGGAAAATTTGTATTCAATTAATTATATAATCGATTACAAACAAATCCATACTAATGGATGAACAACTTTTTTGCGATTAAATTATTCTCAGTAGTTAGAAGTTGTCAAACGGAATGTCACGAATAACAACTTGTCAACTTTTTTTTTGATCTATTACAGTTTTACAGTTACAGTATTACAGAAAATATTTCACATCTTTATGACATCCGGTATTCCATTAATTTTTCAGTAGGAATACAGCAATTGAGTTCAAAATTTACTCTACAAAGATGTGAAAATGTTACATAGAAGTTACTTTCAAATACAAACTGGAGACAAAACCCTTCAAAACAAAAACATGTTTTCCCATTCAGTTTATACTCCAAATATTCCTTATAGAATTGAATCAGATATCGTTCATGAGAACGCTACACTTAGTTGTTATATTTCAAAGGACAGGAACATACTGAATATACCATACTCAAAGAGAATATAAACCAGGTTTCTCTTAATCATAACAGGTCAATAATAAGTTACCTGAATTAGTCATGGTAAATAATGCAAATCGATTGTTACTGGTCTTAAGCCTGTTATCATGGTACGTATGTAACAGAATTGGTCTATACTTTATGAAAATCCATAACGTTTATTTCGAGACTTTCACTGCATTTCACAAAAAAAAACATGGCTTCCCTAGACGTGTTTGGTATAATCTTAACACGTGATAATGAAGTTTGTTTTTTAATTTTTTTTCATTTGTTTTTATTATTTATTAACCTATGTGCAATCTGCTTGAAACTGTTTGTGATAACATTGTCTTTTTAGTATAATTGTATTCTTTATTGCAAGATAAATCTAATAGAGTTATTGCAATTAGTTATTGTTATTATTAGCGGTATATTAAAGTCACATTTACTTTTATTCATTTGGCAACGTGGTGGATATAACTATTAATTGAACTCCTGCAGAAACCCGAACGGTAGCTGCGATGGGCACGTCCTCGGGCTGATCTAGAAGACCGTGATTACGCGGCTTGCTATGGAACTACTGTCCGATTGTAATTATACCTTTCAGACGACGTCCAATCTAGAGTGCTGTAGTTCTTTTGTTTCACAGTATTTTGGCTACTTCAGAATTCTAATTTGGTAAGCGCAGGAGTGCAATTTGTTGAGATATAGCGGTACAGCGGCGTCCACCCGAAATCGATTGGTTATGTTACATACTGAATGGAAAATCAAACCAAGAAGTCAGTTATGAAGAAAAAGGTATCGATTTAATTAGTCTAATGGAATCTGAATATCACCCAATTCCTTTCCTGAAAGTACAAATATTTTCAATCTGATGTTATGACAACTCTATAATTTTGTCTTCTGTAAATCCGTCAAATCTATTGTGACCAAATCAGTGAAAGTGATAGTTAATTTCTTCAAAAAAAATATGTTAGGTACTGATAGTTGTCAGTTCCAGGAAGATGAAATATAAAATTTTCGTAGATTATTGGGATATCAAAATAGTTTCATAGTTTCAGAACTAATAAAAAGAAAATTATCACTTTTATGAATACACTACTTAATAACAAATCCGTTTTAAAGGTAGGTTTTCCTAGCGACGTGTTTTTAACGCAGCAGGAACCGGTTTCGCCCCAATTGCGTCGGCAGGGGCGTGAAACTTATCACGCGGCGTTTTAATGTTTTCCTATCGAAGCGTGGTTATC